TTATTACAGTTGTCTCAATTTTTCCGCCTTTGCCCCCTGCCTGGTACTCCCCCTTCTCTCCAGCAATTTCCCCCTTAGCTCATGTCCATGGGTCATGCATATAAGTTCTTTGGCTTCTCCATTTCCAATACTATTCTTAACATCCCCCTGTCTATTTTGCACCAACCAATTATGCTTTTTTAAAGGTTTTATTTATTTTGAGACAGAGGGGAAGGGATGGAGAAAGAGAGGGAAAGAAACATCATGTGGTTGCCTCTCTTGCACCCCGCACTGGGGAAATGGCCCACAATCCAGGCATGTTCCCTTACTGGGAATCAAACAGGTGACCGACCCTTTGGTTCACAGGCAGATGCTCAATCCACTGAGCCACACCAGCAAGGGCCAATTACACTTTTTAATCTCTGCTTTTTTTCCCATTCTCCCCCATTCCCCCTCCTAGCTGATAACCCTCCAGATGATCTCCATACCTATAATTCTATTCCTGTTCTGCTTGTTTGCTTAGTTTGTTTGTTTTTTTAGGTTCAGTTGTTGATAGTTGTTGCCTTTCTAATGTTCATAGTTTAGATCTTTTTCTTCAATAAGTCCCTTTAACATTTCATGTAATAATGGCTTGGTGATGATGAACTTTTTTAGCTTTACGTTGTATGGGAAGCACTTTATCTGCCCTTCCATTCTAAATGATAGTTCTGCTGGATGGAGTAATCTTTGTTGTAGGTCCTTGCTTTTCATCACCTTGAGTAGTTCTTGCCAGTCCCTTCTAGACTGCAAAGTTTCTTTTGAGAAATCAGCTGATAGTGTTACAAGTACTCCTTTATAGGTAACTATCTGCTTTTCTCTTGTTGCTTTTAAGATTTTCTTTTTATCTTTAACCTTTGGCATTTTAAATATATGTCTTGGTGTGGTCCTCTTTGGGTCCAACTTGATTGGGACTCTGCCTCTTAGACATGTATGTCTTTCATTCAACAAATTACAGAAGTTTTCTTTCATTATTTTTTCAAATAAATGTTCAATTTCTTACTCTTCCTCTTCTCCCTCTGGCATCCCTATGATTCAGATGTTGGCATGTTTGGAGATTTCCCAGAGTCTTCTTACACTACCCTCATTTTTTTGAATTCTTGTTTCTTATATCTGTTCTCGTTGAATGTTTATTTCTTCCTTATGTTTCAAGTCATTGATTTGAATCCTGGCTTCCTTCCCTTCACTATTTTTTCCCTGTAGGTTTTTCTTTGTTTCATTCAGTGTAACCTTCATTTCTTCCTTTATGCTGTTGCTGTACTCAATGAATTCTTGAGCATCTTGATCACCAGTGTTTGAAACTCTGCATCTGATAGGTTAGCTATCTCCATTTCATTTAGATTTTTTATTTTATTTTTTTTCTGTTCTTTCATTTGGACCATATTTCTTTGTCTCCTCAATTTGGCAACTTCCTTGTATTTGTTTCTGTGTATTAGGTATAGCTGCTTTGACTCCCTATGAAAGGCACCTGTAAATTGTGTGGGGCAGAGCCTTAGGTAATTAGTGTGGGGCAACCTGCTTCACCGCTTTGTGGCTCTGTGTGAGGGGAGGGCTCAGAGAGGGGACTGTGCCACTGCTTGTCTTCTGGGGGTTAGCCTGGCATTCACCCCATTTTCAGTCACTTCACCCACTCCCCATATGCACCTGGCACACTTCCAGCTGTTGTCCTGGTGTTGAATCCCAGAGTGGGTGGGTTTGCATACATTTGAAGACTATGCAGGCCCTGCAGGTGAAGTTTCCTGAAAATCCAGCAGTTTCTTCTGCCACCACAACCCCCACTGGTTTTTACAGTCAGAAGTTATGGGGATTTACTTTCCCGGTGCTGGAGTCCTGGCCTGTGCAGTCTGGCCTGGGGCTCAGATCACTCATTCCCAAGGAATCTCTCCTGATTTTTATCCACCACACTTGAATGTGGGACTGCCCATGCCCATTACTCTGCCACCACAGCCTCTCCACACCACACTGCATCTCCTTGCCTCTCCACCCTGTCTCTGTGTCTCCGCCCTTCCTAACCTGTCTGGATGATTGTGGCTTCCTTAAATCCTTGGTTGTCAGACTTCCATATAGTTTGATTTTCTAACAGTTCTGGGTGGTATTTGTTTTTGAGATTTAGTTGTAATTCTTTTTGTGGTTGTGCAAGGAGGCAACGCGTATCTACCTTCACTTCCATCTTGACTGCAAGTCCTGGTTATTTACTTTAAAAAAATGATTTTATTTATTTATTATTAAGGAGAGGGGTGGAGGGGGGAGAGAGAGGGAGAGAAACATTGATGTGAGAGAGAAACATCAATCAGTTGCCTATCACAGGTGTCCTGACCTGTAACTGAACCTGCAACTTAGGCATGTGCCCTCACCAGGAGTCGAACTGGTGACTTCTTGCCTTGCAGGATGATGCTCACCAGCAGAGCCACGCTGGTCAAGGCTGTTTCTGGTTATTTTTGTGTGTTGACATTATACATAAACATTTTTTTTACTGAAAGAATTTGAGGATTAGGATAATGGAATCTTACTCCAGAGAAGATTTTGTTTACCAGGCCTGTAAGGATGCTTCCTGTCTGGAACTACCGTAATCTATGTTCAAAGCCCACCTAGATGTTGCAAAGCCAAGCTCAAAGACTTTGTAGGGCTAGTTTACTTCCAGTCTGTAATTACCCGTAAAGTGAAACATTTGAGGTTTGTAGCATCATATGGGTGATGGTTTGTTAGGAAATCCCTCCCCTTTCAATAAGCCTTGGGTATTGATTTTTGTTACTCTAGTGCCTTGAGTCAGCTTTAGGGTCAGCTCAGTTTGGCACTGGTTTGTTCCTTAACCTTTATTCCTTAGTAGATGCCTTTAGGACAAATAAAGTTAACCATATGAGTACTAAAAGAAAACATGGGTAAATTCCTCTTTGACCTCATGTAGAAAAAAAAGAGTTCTTAACTATGAATCAAAAACTAGATGAAATAAAAGTATGATGATAAATTTGACTTTTTTAAAACAAAATTTCATTTCAGTTTCTTTTTCTCTTTTTTTAAAGATTTTATTTATCTTTAGAGGGAAAGCGAGGAAGAGAGGGAGAGAAACATCAATGTTTGGTTGCTTCTCACGCATCCCCTACTGGGGACCTGGCCCACAACCCAGGCATGTGCCCTGACTGAGAATCTAACCGGCGACCCTTTGGTTCACAGGCCTGAACTCAACCCACTGAGCCACACCAGCCAGGCTGACTACTTTTTCAAAAGTGTGGTGAAAATACACCATGAAGTCAAAATTGCAGCACATATAATAGATGAGAGCCTAATATAGTTAATGTATAAAGAATACTTGAAAAGTGAGGGGAGAAAGACCAACAACCCAGTAGAAACATGGAAAAACATGTACAATTTACAATGATGTTAAAATTGTCATTAAATAGAGAAATGCAAAATAAACACCATTGAGAGACTTCTATCATATTAATGGAAATTTAAAAGTAAGTCACACTTTGCCCTAGATGGTGTGGCTCAGTGGATTGAGTGTCAGCCTGTGAACCAAAGGATCGCCGGTTCGATTCCCAGTGAGGGGACATGCCTGGGTTGCCAGCCAGGTCCACAGTAGGGGTGTGCAAGAGGCAACCACACACTGCTGTTTCTCTCCCTCTCTTTCTCCCTTTCCCTCTGTCTAAAAAAATAAGTTTTTTAAAAAAGCGTGTCATGCTTTATGTTAGAAGATGTGCTGGAAAACACACACACCTTTATTTCTGGTGGGAAGGCAAGAAACAGATCTGAGCCTCAGGGGAGGCAACAGCCTGGAGATGTAATGTGGGAATCACCTGTGCTTAGAGGGAAGCGAACAGAGATCACCCTGAGAGAGAGTCTGTGTGGACTGAGAAGAGAGGAGGCCCAGGAATCCCCTGCTCAAGGTGGCGGCACAGCTTCCTGGTAGGCACCACCACAACTCCAGTCAGGCAGAGATGGTCTTGAAAGCGGGCTATGGGGCCCAGTTCCTGAGCGCTTAGGGGAGTCGGGTACCTTTCCTGTGATTAGCTGTCAGAACTGGCTATAATGGGCGTCTCACAGGAATGCCAGGCAAAAACCTGAGATGTGCAAGATAAATGAAGCACCTGTGGTCAGAAAGCCTCCTCCTGCTGTTTCGGTGACTCTCCTATTGCCATCACCCCTTCCTACCCTGGCCCTGTCGGAAGCTGACAGGTCCTTTGGGATGAGGGGAGGGCAAGCTGGGGTGATGCAATGCTCATGTGACCCACTGGGCACCCACGTGGACTGCAGTTCCTGCTCCCCTTGCCTGTGCAGTATCAGCTCCTTAAGCTGCTCGGCAACGAGTGAGAGGCCAGCAGGCTTCCACTGGCTGGAGGAAGTGCAGACCTGGCCCAGCATGTGCAGGACGGTGTGGAGGTGGGTGTTCCTTGAAGCCTGGGCAGGGGTGGAGGTGAATTCAAGAAGGGCCCTGGAGCAGGGACAAGGCAAAGAAGTCCCAGAGGTGAAGTAGGTAGGGGACACAGCGATGGCAGGCAGGTGGTGAGGGAGGAGCCTATCATAGCCCTGCTACCTCCTCAATGCCCCACCTCTGCTACCCTCCATATTTTTTTTAATCCTAACCCCAAGGACATACTTACTGATTTTAGAGAGAGGGGAAGGGACGGAGAGAGAAACATCTATCTGTTGCCCCTGTGTGTACCCCAACCTGCATATGACCAGCAACCTAAGCATGTGCCCTGACCCGATTGGAACCCCACCTTTTGGTTTACAGGAGGGCGCTCCAGCCAACTGAACCACACTGGCTAGGGATAGGGCTCTCCATCAACTTTTGAGCCCCAGTGTGGCAGTGAAACATAGGCATATTCTGGAAATAACTCCCCTTCGCAATTCACCTGTGAGGAAATACTGACCTCCAGGAAAAAAAGAGCTGAGTTTGGGGTTGGTTGCCTGTAGGGGTTGTGGACACAGAGGCTCAAATAGTTGGGAAAGCATCCAGGTTTCGTGCCAGAGGCCTGGAAACTGATATGGTGAATGTGGTGCGGAGCAGGTAGGGGAAGGTAATTTTGGATTTGGAGCACCCAGATTCAGGAAAGGGACATCAGTCCTCTAGGCACTCAGCTACTGCCCCTGTCTCCTGACTGCAGATCTGTGTGTCTGACCCCAGCACCCTGCAAGGCTAGAAAAGGAAGAACCTGTGCAGAATCCCTGCAGGTCAGTGAAAACAGGAAGGGGCACTGGACATGGACTGGGGGTGATGGTGGAGGGTGCAGGGTGAGCAGAATTTTAGGGCTCCACTGCTCATCCTACCTCCACATTTAATATAGGCACACCCTGCCACCCTGAAGGTTGGTACAGAACGTGGCAGGACTTGCCATAGAAATGGCTGGTTCACAGGTTTGGGAGGAACAATGGGGGAAAGTGTGGCAGAAGGTCAGATCAGAGGAACCCCTACCACTCGCCAGATTCCAGTACTATCTGAGCCTGCATTCCATCCCCAGATCTCAGTCTCCCTTGTCATCTCTTTCTCTCCTCTCCCCCACTGAACTCCACCCCACTCCTCAGAACAGGCAAAAGAAGAGACATCTCAACATGGAAAAACTACAATGAAAATGAAGGAAAGCTGGAAAATGAGGGAAATCCAGAAGATGAAGGAAACTCAGATGTAAAAAGGCCAGAAGTGGAGGGGAAACCAAGGCACAAGGGGAAGTGCCAGGATTAGGGAGAGTCAGATGATGAAAGGAAACAAGAAAAGCAGGACAAGTCTGACAGTGAGGGAAATGCACACGGTGAGGGCAAGCCAGAACGCCAAGCCAAGCCAGAGAGCCAGCCAAGGGCTGTTGAAAAGTGCCAGGCTGAAGATTATGTGTCTCGGAAAGCAAAGCGCAAAACAGGAGAATGGATGATTCTCCCAAGGACTACCAGGAGGACTTACAAGAAAGGCACTTGGGCAGTGAGGAGATGAGTGAATGTGGAGATGTGTCAAGGGCTCAGGAAGAGCCAAGGAAAAGCCAGAAAACAAGTGGTTTTCTTTGCATGCGAAGATGTACAGGATCCATTCATCCCAAGGAGCCAATGGGGTGTCAGGGAGTGGGGGGGGGGGCGGAGGCAGGGGCCAGAGGGGCTTTCGTGATATCCCATATCTTTAATGCCCTCAGACATCAATTCTGATTTATTTGATGAGAATATTCCACCCCTGCTTTTCTGGTGGTCATTTGCCAGGGAATGTGCTCTAACCTTAAGCTGATGCTTTGCTTTAGGTGTCGCCCTTGTTACCAGCAGCCTTTTGATCCAACTAAACAGTGCTCTTGGTTTCAGTAGGGGATTTTCACCCACATGCATGGAAGAGGTATTCATGGCACTTTGTAAAACAATAAAGAAAAAAGTTTTCAGAACCTCATATACAGTGTCAGCTCATTTTTGTAAAAATATAAATAGTTGTATAATGCATTTGTGCACAGAGAAACTCTGAAAGTGTGTACATTAAAAAGCAGGCAATGGTTTTTCCTGCATGGTAGCAAAAAAGAGGTCTTGCCTTTACTCAAAAATGAGTCCACCTGATCGTTAGGTACCTCCATGCCATTCCCCTGTGGGCATGCCCGTCCCCACATTGTCCCCTAGTTGTAACCATGTCAGGGGGCACTGATGTCCTTTCTCCTGGGTCATTCATCATCCTGTGGCTCCATCTGTCATCCCTTTGCTTTGCTCACTAATCTCTAGTTTTTCCTAAAGGATATGGATTATGTTTATCAAAATAAAAAAGAAATCCAGAGATCAATATATGGTAAACAATTGAAATGTTCAGTGAACTTATGGGGGTATTAAAATACTTAAAAGTCTTGTCAGAATGTAAAATGAGAGGTAGAACACATTATCTCCAAGGCTTATAGCTAGAGGAATCAACCTGGTAGTTGTAACAACAGATCCAGTGCTGTAAGGGTCAGTCTTGCAGTCTGTGAAATGGGAATAAAACTTACCTCACAGACTTGAGTGGGTCAGATGGGGTACTGAGTATATGAGCTGTGTCAGGGGAGCTCCTTTGCAGTAGTAAGACCCTGCACCCTGCCAGGCACTAAGAGGAGAAATGAAGGTGGGTGTAACCTATGCCCAGGAACAAATCCAATTAGTTGAGAAGAGGTATCACCTTTCTCTGGATACTACAGTATCTACCGGGCACTTCTGTTCTACTGTGCCCTGTACTGTCTATTGACAGCTATTGATATGATGGATTCCTCAGGGTAACAAGGGTCCTCTGATTCCCTATAGTCTTCAAAGGGCCAAATCCCCTATTTGACTCCTGTCTACAGGACTGTGGATAAAGCCTGCCTCCCAGCTTCAGAGTTGTACCCACCCAGGTGGTAATGCCCCAGGGCTGCTTGGGTCCTGCTGTATTACATAGTTCTTAGCAAAGTAGTCATTAATATTTTTAGTTCATTTTATAATTGCTTAGTTTCTTTTCTCTTCATAAGACTCAGATATTCTGGGGTTACTGGGGACTGTGCCCTGAGATTAATCTATGGACCAGGCAATGGATGGTAATTTGAACAAATTTTGCAGTACCTCAGGGAAACCATATCTAAACATAATACTTTTCTTAGTGTGAGTTTACTCTAAAAATTCTGGCTGGTTTGCTATACAAGAGCAAGGCACTTGTTCACACATAATCACAGAGGGTGACACAACTGAGTTTCAAACTGAAAATATCCCTTCCCATTCCAAACAAATTCCAACTGAAAAAGGTATAGTACTCTTGGAAATATTAAAAACTCTCAATGGGAGACCTTTTTATTTAATCCACCAGTTATGTCCCTTTTGCAAAACATACTTTTTCTTATTCATTCTGATATTCATTACATTGTAGTTCACACCTTTAATAAATTATTATTGAATGAGGAGCCCTGAGTTTAGAGGGATACACCATTTATATATTTAATAGTGTTAGTATGATAACTCTCTCCAAAATTGATCTATAAATTCAATGCCATCCCAACAGAAACCCCAGCAAAAGAGGATTCTAAAAGTTATAGAGAAAAGCAAAGGGCAAAGGATAGCCAAAATATTTTGAAAATGAAGAACAAAATTAGAGGATTCATTGCCTGATTTCAAGACTAATTATTAGGCTACAGTAATCAAGACTGTGTAGGTATTGGCATAAGGATACACATATAGATCAGTGGAATAAAACAGTCCAGAAACAGGCCCACATGTATATAGTCAATTCATTTTTTAAAAGGTCCCTAAGCAATTCAGAGAAAGGTAGACTTCAAGAAATGATGCAGGAACAATTGGATGTTGTCTTAATTTAGGCTTCTATAACAAAAATACCACAGACTGAGTGGCTGAAACAACGTTTCTCTCTCAAAGTCATGGATTCAGGGAAGTCCAAAATTAAGGTGCTTGCAGATTCAGTGTCTGGTGAGGACCCGATTCCTGGTTCATAAAAAGATGTTTTCACATGGCAGAAGGGGCAAGGGAGCTCTCTGTGGTCTCTTTTATAATGGAATTAATCCCATTCATTCATTGGGAGGGTCTTGAGATTTCAAGGCTAGCAGGACAAATTCCCCTCTAAATAGCCAATAGCTATTCAGATAGTGAGTGTACCACTGGGAGCATCCACTACAGAGGAAAGCCTGAATAATTGAGAGAAAAAAATGACCACCTCTGTAGATATCATTCAGCCTTTCCTCCCAGCAATCCCAGTGTTTGCACAATGAGCCCTTCCATGTACAAAGTGGACATGGAAGGAGGAATAGAGCTATGCAGAACCTCAACAATATTTAATCCCCTGTCAACAGCAAAGGCCAATGTTTAGCCTCTAACATGGCACCATTTCTAGGGGGTACCAGCCAGACACTTGGAAAAGGTTGATTACAGTGGACCTCTTCCACCACAGAGAGAGTGTTTTGTCTTTAAATGGAAATAATAACACTTTTTTTTTTACTTGCTAATGACTCAACTTTTTTTTTAATTTATTTACTTTTTAAATACATTTGTCTCTGCCTCCCCCCCACCTCTTTCCCTTGCCCCCTCCCTCCTTCCCTCCCTCAGCTCTTTCAGGGATCATTTCTATAGTTTGTTAATAACACTTTTTAAGAGAGCAGTTTTATTGAAATATCATTCAGATACCAAGAAATATGGCCTTTTAAAGTGTACAATTCAGTTATATTTAGCATACTCACAGTTTTACACTATTACCACCATGAAATGTTATAGTCTCATTATTCCCCAAAGAAACCCTGTACATTAACAAACTACATATTCCTCTCCATCATCACCCTCCCCCCCCACCCCAGTTACTGGCAACCACTAACCTAGCTTTTGTCACTATGGATTTGGCTATTGTGGACATTTCATATAAATGGAATCAAAATATGTGCTCTTTTGTGACTAGCTTCTTTCACTCAACAGAATGTTTTGAAGTTTCAGCCATGGTGCACCACGTATCAATGCTCTATTCCTTTTTGCTACCTAATAACATTCCATTAAATGATATACCACATTTATATATTCATTCATCAGTTGATGAACATTTAGGTTATTTTCATTTTTGGCTATTATGTATAATGCTGCTATGAACATCTTTATAAAAAGTTATTGTTTGAACACATGTTTCAATTATTTGGAGTATATATACTTATGAGTAGAATTGATGGGTCATGTGGTAATGCTATGTTTAACATTTTGAGGAATTACTAAATGATTTTAAAAGGGGCTTCACCGTTTCACATTCCCACCAACAATGTATGAGGTTCCAATTTCTTCGTATTCTCACCAGGACTTGTTCTTGTCTTTTAAAAAATTTATCCCAGTAAATGTGAAGTGATATCTCATTGAGATGTGATTTGCATTCCCATAATTGGTAATGATATTGAATATATTTTCATGGGTATAGTGACCATTTGTATATCTTCTTTAGATAAATATCTATTCAAAACATTTAGCCAGCCCTGGTCAGGTAGCTCAGTTGGCTGGAGCATTGTCCCAATGTGCCAAGATTGTAGGTTTGATCCCCAGTCAGGGCACATATACAGGAATCAACCAAGGAATACATAGGTAGGTGGAACAACAAATTGATGTCTCTCTCTCTCCCCCTCTCTCTCTCCCCCTCCCTCCCTCCTTCTCTCGCTAAAGTCAATAAATGAAAAAAATTAAAACAAACAAAAACCTAAAACATTTGCACATTTTAGAATTAGCATTAGGTTATTTGCTTTTTCTGTTGACTTACAAGAGACCATTATATATTCTGAATACAAGCCCTTATCATATATATGATTTGCAAATATTTTCTCCCATTCTGTGGATTTCCTTTTAACTTACTGGGTGGTGTCCTTTGAAGCACAATTTTTTTTTTCATTTTGATTAAGCTCTAGTCATCTATTTTATCTTTCATTGACTATGTTTTTGGTGTCATCTCTAAGAAACCATTGCCTAACTATGGTAAGAAATATTTACTCCTATGTTTACTTCTAAGAGTTTTATAGGCTTAGTCTCACCCTCAGAACTATGATTCACTTTGAGTTTTTATATCATTTGAATAAGGGTCCAAATTAATTCTTTTGCATGTAGATATCCAGTTTGTCTAGCACCATTTCTTGAAAAACTATTCTTTCCCCATCGAATTGTCTCGGCACATTTGTTGAAAATGCACTGACCATAAACGTGGGGGTTTAATTCTAGACTCTGTTATGTTTTGTTGATCAACATGTCCTTATGCAAGTACCACACTGTCTTGATTACTGTAGCTTTGTAATAAATTCGGAAATAGAGAATTGTGAGGCTTCCAACTTTCTACTTCTTTTTCATGATCATTTTGGCTATTCTGAGTTACTTTGGATGTTCATAACAATTTTGGTATCGGCTTGTAAAGTTCTGAAAAGATGTCAGCTGGAGTTTTGATAGGGGTTGCAATGAATCGGCAGGTCAGTTTGGGAAGTATTGCCAATTTAACAATATTAAGTCTTCCAGTCTATGAACACAGCATGTCTTTGCATTTATTTATGTCTTCTTTAATTATTTTAAACAATACATATATATATATTTTTTATTTTTCAGTGTACAAATCTTACACTTCTTTGTTTAGGTTTATTCTCGTGTTTTGTTCTTTTTGGATGCTATTGAAAATTGAATCACTTAATTTTTGTTTTCAAAT